GGCCATACAGCAGAGGTAGAAGGCGAGGAGTGTCTCCTTGTACCAGTATGCGCCGACGAAGCCGGTCAGGGAGACGACGAGGACGAGGAGGCCGAGGAGACGACCGGCCACCGGACGAAGTGGATGCACTCGTTGTCCGGCTGGGAGGCGAGCCAGATCCCGATGCGACGATTGGGACGGAGCACAGGAAGGCGATGAAGTTCAGGACTGCGGTTAGGTTGTTGGATAGCGCCATGGTTTTGAGAGAGAGAGAGAGATTTTGACTGTGTGGTTTGCTGGAATTGGGGGGAATTTGAAAGAAAGGCGTTCTCTTATAGGGAAAGCTTTTTGCAGCGAGTGGAAAGGGAAGGAAAGGGAAGAAGACGGGAGGGAAGCTTTTAGTGTGTTTCCTTTTTTGACTTCCCCTGTTTTCTTTGGTTTTTACACTAGTGTGCATGTTCAAAAAGGAAATTCAAAAAGATTAAGATAATTGATTTTTTTTCTCAAGATATATTCTCTCAATACAACATGAAAATTCATAAATAAGTTTGGACTACATGTACTAAAGTGTTCAATAATTGTAGGAAACTATTTGATGAAGAGATTAGCAATCTATTGGTAGATCACTTTTGTCAGCTGAAGAGTAATCTACCGTTAATATGCGTCGATATTACATCTCATGTGCATCTCTCAAGCCTAAAAAAAAAAATCAATTTCACAATTGGTTTTCTCATCACCATCCCTCCCCATTGAAGTTCATAGTTAGACACCACTCATCCTGATCTTACCCAGCTGCTCCTGCTAAAATTATTGTGAAGTGTTTGGCCGGTATAACCAGATTCAGTCAGTATATTGCACACAAACTAGATGGCAAAAAATACAGGTATGAAGCGATAGTCAAACCTGATATCAAAGGCCAAAGTCGATCAAAATTGGGAAAATCAGGGTCAAGTCGGGATGATAACCTTTTCCGCTTTAAACAAATGACAGCATACGTTTTGGCATATAATTAACTAACAAAAAAGAAAGGAATTTAATGAATCCAAGTATATATGACAACATGTTAGTATCTTTTTCATTGGACTTGAGTTTGAACGTCCAGACGTTGGTGTTATATATATGTTGCACATTTGAATACGATGATTTTGTCACTTTGTTTGTAATGTGATATTTTATTTGGATATTAATATAGATTATAGGGAGATCATTTTAAAAATATCTTATATATTTACACAATTCATTTGGGTGAGAGCACATGGAGGCACTTCGTCTGTAGCAAGCAATGCAACGTGGGCTTTCTCGTTAACCGGAGAATATTAGCGGTATAAATTTACAGACACTACTTCCCAGCTACAGTCCGCCGCCGGCCACATCGATCTTCTCTACGTTCTTCTCGGTTTCGCGCATCCATGCAACCGCCCCCCGTCCGGAATCCATCGTTCTTATCGTCGTGGTCGGTCGTCTGGTTATATATTTTGGGCTCTCTTGAACCTTAGAGTTATTCTCATCGATCCAAGTTCTTTGTTGCCTGTTGGGCCGGATCTATGAATTGCCTCTTTATACGATTTCAGTGCACTTAATTAAACTACACTAATTAACAAGTAAATCAAGCTAACGAACTAAAGCATAATTCCAAACTCAAGTTCAATCATGAGGAAAGGGTTGCTCAGGTTCGAATACCCCCTAGCTAGTTATTAATTAAGATCGACCATGCACAACGTAGTACCGATCGATGTTGTTTTCTTGATCGAAGAAATTCTTATACTAGTGTTAACCCATTTTTCTCATGTATTAACACTCTATCGATCAATTGGTTAAGGCTCGCGATATTCTCATTGCCCTAAAGCTAACGAATTGATGCATTTAAATCGATCCATGAACTCCGTATTAACTTTAGTTTCGTCCTAAATTGTAGGTTTTTACATGGTTTATATTATAGCGACCCAATTAATCTCTTATGTCCTTAAGTGCTTTTGTAGGTCTTACATGGTTTCTACTTCAATTGAATATTGAGAAGATAAAATAAGAATATATCAAAGAAATCAAATATCAAGAGCTGTATTGTATTCAGTCGATATCCTAAAACATGGCTACGCTTCATCTTATTCAAACAATAAAGGAGTTTAATTCATCGTAAAGGAATAGAAATCAAACTAATAGAGAAATTATTCCAACAACCGATAGAATTCCATAAGAAACGATTCTGGGAAACAATAACAAAAATTTATTTAAAATGATTCCACGGATTTCAACTAATTTTTAATATGTTCGTGTTATCAACTTTTGTTATGGATTTCATCAGTCATGGATTTCACACATGGAAACATGAAACAGAAATGGAAAATAATACTAAATAGGGTGTTAGATGTAGAACAAATAGTCATACAAAACAACTCAACACCTATACGAATTTATTTCCTAATATCCCAACAAAAACTCATCCACTCTTGTTATTTCCAACCATGGTTTTCATGTCAGAAGCATGTTTTATTAAAACCAACATGAACGAATTTTGATATTTAAACAAAATGATGTCATTCTGGTAAATCTAATTGATAAAAGATAATTTTTGCTTTGTTGCTTGAATTGAAAGTCAAATGCTAAATGTTATTTGTTGGATTAATGATGAATGTTTAGATGTATATATTGTTTGTTGGATTCAAGTATAAGTTTTTGGATATTGGTGTTAAATATTGAGTTACATATAAATTTTTTTCATTTTGTTGTAATGTTATATTTTCTTAAAATATGAATGTAAATTTTAGAGATATTGTCTTAAAATATGTGCTTAAAGTCATTTAGTGTTAATGATTTCTCACTTTCCTATATATTTTGTTAAATCAAAATGAACTTACATAAATCAATTATACCACTGGTCGGACTATACCACCTGCCAAATTAGCATAATGGAATTTTAGGGTTTGTTTGGAAGATGCGAATGTTAAATCATTGGATTGTAATGAATCACTTTAATATAAATACATGCGTTGATACAATAGATACATTTTGACAATACATTGTTTGGTTGTCCATATTCCAGTTTATGTATTGGTTTGCATAAAGTTACTTCACGGGAAAATGTCACGATTACCCTCAACTTTTAGTATAAGACAAAAACTATCAGAGATATAGCAAGAAAAAAGTAGACACAAATCTAAAACCAACAATCTCAACTTATAGTTGAGATTGTATGATGCATAATTTTTTGTGATTGTTGGTGATACTTACATTTTGCAAGTTGATACTTCCAAATAATATTGTACACACTACATATATTCAATAAACGCAATTCGAACAATTACCACTTCCAAAAGAGATCTTAATTCCAACTAAGTGGAAGTACAAGAGTTGCGTTTTAGTAATTGTAAAAAAAATGAGGGGTAAATACAATTTAATATCCAAACCTTTCAATTTAAACAATATAATAGCCAAACCTTTTCGAAAAAAATCTAATATCCAAATCGTCAACTTTCCGTTCGTTTGATCGTTAGTTGACACTTCAAAAAAGCTTTGTTTAGAGGAAATTGTCGCAATACAACTGTGTTTCTTGTTTTGGCATTGCAGATGACTGAATATTTAGATATTCTATACCATCATGGTGGAGTCATGGACTTCTCGGGTTTGGAGCTACGATATGTTGGTGGTTTTTCAGAAAAGATATCGATGGATATTGATGAAGTGTCGTACTTCGAACTTTTTTGAAGTGTCAACTAACGGTCAAACAGACAGAAAGTTGACGATTTGGATATTAGATTGTTTTCGAAAAGGTTTGACTATTATATTGTTTAAAATAAAAGATTTGGATATTAAATTTTATTTACCCAAAATGAGTTACGCTTTAGTCCGACGCTAGTCCTTATTTCTTTCCCATCCCGCTCTGGCTCTAGGAAGCAGGATTTTCTCCTTTCCCGCGTTTTCTCGCTCGACGGAGGGCCAGTTGCAGTACTGTATCTGTTCCTGTTGCAATTGGGAGGCGGCAACTGAGCAAGGCACGAATCATGGAGCAATGGGTTCCGCTCTTCGACATTTTCCTCAACTCCCCAACTCCAGAGATCGAAGCTTCTCTATGGCTTCACCGATCTTTCAACGTTTCTTCCACCCTCCCAATCTCCGCCGCCTCCTTCCTCTCTTTACTCACTCAACCTGTCGACTCCGTCGCTGGTGAATCTGACTCCTCGCCTCCCCAGA